TTTCGTAATTTTACGTTATTTATTGCGCAATATTTCGCAATTTTTTGCGCAATATTATGTCCAGACCGTAATTATTGTGCAATATTTTGGGCCGTAATAACTTACGTAAAATTACGTTAATATATTTCAATGATGTAAATAAAAGGAGTGCGGCTTTAGAAAAATATATATTTTGTTGTTTCCTCTGTGTTCTTCTTTGAAGTAACGACCTAAAAGCTTTGTCAACGAAGTTGGGCTTTGCCTACACTTCACCAAGATTTTTTATACAAGGGTGCCGTTTGCCAGTTATCTTGTACAATAACGCTCTTGGCTTGCATGCCAAACATCCTATAGAGGAGTCACGCTAGCAGAGTTGATCTCTAGACAAACCACTAAGTAGGCCACAACTTTCCAACAAAAATTTAGTTTTTCTATTTAGTGAGAAATTTTGGTTTAGGTAATCGTTGGAAAGAGTTCGATGTATATGATTTCATTTAATATTTTACTTTTAATTTTAATTGTATATTATATGAATTGTAAGCAACAACTCTAATATACAAGTATTTACTAAAAAAGCATAACTAATATATTAGCTATATAAATAGCTAATATATTAATTATACTTTTCCAGTAAATATTTGTCTTTTTTTTTTAGATATGAATTTATTGCTCAAATATTGGCTATCTTTAGTAACTTATATATTCTTTAAATACTAAATTACTCATCAACTACTTTTTTACTGTACTTATTTTTATATTCTTGATTTAAATATTATAAGTAATACTTGCTAAGGAAAATTTTGTTATTATGATTTTATTTAATACTTTATTTAATTTTTATTGTATATTATATAGATTGCAAGTGACAACTCTGATATATACTAGGTGTTTAAGTATTTACTAGAAAAGCATAATTAATATATTAGCTATATAAGTAGCTAATATATTAGTTATACTTTTCTAAAAATGATTGTTTATTTTTTTTTCTTTTACATGTAAATTCATTTCTCAAATTTTGGCTGTCTTTAGTATATTATACTGTATATTCTTTAAATACTAAATTATCTATTAATTACTTTTTTATTATACTTATTTTCATATATTTAATTTAAATGCTATAAGTAATATCTAGCAAGAAAAAAATCTGTTATTTATTGCAATTTTATTTAAAAGTTTTCTAGGCATCTTTGGCCAGAGATATATTGGTTATTGTTTAGTTATTGTAGGTTATTTCCTTCTTTTTTTTTCTATTCTTTTATTATCTTTTTCTTGTTTGAAAATTTTTTTTAATATTAGTAGAATCCTTCTACTCGGAAAGCTAGAAGAAGGCTAGAAAAGAAGATGATCATAACAGGCTATAGATCCAGGCTGGTGAACTAGAGAGGATTATGCTAAGATAGTTTGAACCAAACTAGAAATGCTAATTCTACTTTGGCAGGTTGCTTTTTAGTAACTGGTAAGCTACACTCTAGTAATAAGTAGTTAATTCTATTTTAATCTATTAATAAAGCATAGAGTTGTGACATGATTGTCAAAAAAAAATAATAATAATATTAATTAAAAATGATCACTTAGACTCTTAACACTTTATTAATTCAAGCAGTTAACCCAACTCGAGGGCTAACAACCCAAGAACCAAAGTTGCATATTATGTTTATATTACAAGGACCACACATACAACTTTGATTGTTTAATTTAAATAGCTTGCTCAAAAGTTCTACACTTTGAGATATTGTATATTAACATGTGTTATAATGCTGTCACATACTAACGATAGCTTGCATTTACTTAATAACTAAATCATTTCATTGCAGTTAGAGAAAAAAAAAACACGCATGAAATTTTGCCGCGGTATATTGCATACACTCAATAGGTTGAAGATAGATTGGGTTAAACATAATTTTTTGGCAAAACATAAAACTCTTCACATAATTATGGGCCCTAAAAATAGTGATGTTTCGGATTTAAACAGTTTTTATTTTATTAATTGACAATATAAATAGTAGTGATGATACACTTGATTGGCTTCATTTTAATAATTTTAACAAATTTTATATATATTAAAAATTCTATTCTTCCATATAATCCTTACTTTCTACCCAGTTTTCCATATCAATCTTTTTCCTTTTTCGCATTCTACCATCACCACCTTCAATATCTGCAATAAACTCTTTCCCAATCTTTTCTCTCAACTCTTCAACATTTTTATCATCATCTGCGTATTCAAGAACGAGATGTCTACCTAATAAGTGTGTGTTTTGTAATTGTTCCATTACATTTCTTGCATCTCTTTTGGTTAAGAATTCTAGAAATGCGAATCCGCGAGATGTACCATCAAATTTTTTTGGTAAACGAAGTGTTTTAATTTGGCCATATGCACTATAATAAGATGACAAATTAATAAATTTGATAAAGTTTCACATTAAACCTAATAAAGTTAGGAGAGAAACTTTTAATTTACCTAAATAATTCTTTCAATTCTTTTTTCGTTGTTTCAAAAGCGACATTTTTAACGATGATTTTTGTGGAATTTTTTTTCTTTTTCATTATTTCATCCTCTTTTCGTTTTCTCTGCACCATATCTAATCCGCCACGATTTGAAAATTTTAATTGTAATGCATGGCCATCTAACATGTATCCCTAAAATACAAATGAATGTTAAAATAAGTTGACATATTATCATAATAAAATAAATAAAAATAATATTGTAAACGAACTTTATACCTGCATTGCTTTCAAAGCATTCTTTGCATTTTTCATATTATCATATTCAACAAACCCAAATCCCATACTCAATTTTTTATCAGGATTTTTAGGGTCATTTTTCATTTTTATTTTAGCCGATTTCATACCAGAAGTATTCTTGAATACTTTTTTCAGTTCTCCCTCAGTGGTATCAAAATTTATGTTCTTAATAAACAATGTAGCAGTTAATTCTTCTTCTTCTTCTTCTTCTTCTTCATTTATAGTGCTTTCAATTATATCCGATGAAGAAAGTAATTTTTTCGTATTATCATCAGTTTGGTTTGAGCTTAGTTCATCTTCACTTTTGAAAACACCCTGTGGTGCTTTCTCCAGATATAGAGGAACTCCTTTAAATTTTTTATATGCAAGATTTGTGAATGCATTTCGGGCTTCCGAAGGATGTAAAAATTCTATTAAGGCTATTGTCTGAGCCGGTGGAATTATTAACTATAATTTTTAATTGTTAGACTTTTTTTTATGTTATATCCACAAGTTTTTTTTTTTTCTTTGTGTTTAAATATCAACTTACATGCCCAATTTCTCCATACCATCCAAATAATTGCTGTAATTCGTCTTTTGTCACACCAAATGGAATATTCTTTACTAAGATAACTGTATCACTTTTTTCTTTTTTTCCAAAAGAACTCAAGGAAATTCCATTCTTAATAATGAAGATAAAATTAGTACACCTTAATAAAATTTTTGTAATGTATAAATTGCATACACACATACCATTTCAAGAAATGCTTTTGTTTCTTGGATGATGTGAGTCTCTGCAAGTGCAAGCTTTGAAGCCATATTGTCGGACTCGGGGTCCAATATGTCCGATTTTTTTACATTAAATCGATGTGCTATTGACTCAGCGATTGCATCACTCTGAATAAAAATCATTGAATTAGGTTGAATAATTCATATGCAAATACTTATGCATAGAATAAAAAGATAAACATTTTATTCTTACATTCATGTATAAAATACTCCAATTAAAGTCATTACTGGCTAAGCTTTTCTGTTTCATCTCTCTTTTTTTCTTTAAACTCCACCTACTAGGATCCAAATCACGAATTTGAGGTTTATCTTTAGAAGGTAAAATATGTAATAATCTTCCCATGAAGAATTTATTATCTAACTCAATATAAGCTTTTACAGCGTGTTCAGGAATATGATATAAAACATAAGCAAAGCCTTTGTGATTTTTTGTTTCCTTGTCCAGTGGTATGTGAACCTTTATCGAATCAATTATATCAAAATCAATTGCTCAAAAAATATTTATAGATAAAGCATAACTATATCATACTTACTTCGGCAAGTGGACCAAATTTATTAAATATCTGTCGTAAGTCTTCTTCAGAGCATACGTATGGTAAATTCCTAACAAACAATCTACCAGTTTCACCAATGGATTCTTCAGGTGGAACATCCGTAGGTCTGCCAGATTGATTAACATTTGTCTCATTATGAGAAGTCATACTTTTCATTTTGTTAAGTCCATTCTCTGAATTAGAAGCGAAATTTTCTTTAGAATCATCATTTTCTGATGACGTATTAGTATAAATTTTATTACTTTCATTATGTTTATTAAATTCGATTTTTGAAGAAGTTTTATTCTAAATATTTTTGTATAAAAATTATTAAACAACTTTGATGATCATTAAATAAAAGTGAAATAAATTGTAAACACAATTCACCTTATAAACATTAACATCATAATCATCAATATCATCGTCATTTATATCCAGTCTTCTTCTCATTTTCGTTCTAATCCATTCCATATCAGATACGGATGATTCTTTACTCAATTCATCATTAAATAATTTATCATTTTTATTTTTTGTTAAATTATTCGATTCATTTGTATCATCTTTATCATTTTTATTTGGTAAATCTTGATAAAGTTCATCATCAGAATCATTAGTAATAACATTTTTCAAACTCGATTGAGATTCCAAAAATGTTAAATCATCGTTAGACCAAGTTTTAGATTTTGATCTTGGTTTCATAACTTCCAAAAATTCTTTAAGCTTTTCATCATCAACGATTTCATCATATTTAATCTTTCTTTTTTCTACCGGTATTTCAATACTATTAGCTTCTGATTTCTGAAAAAGTTTATTCTGATATTTTGATGAACCAACGCTATGAGCACTCCAAGGTCTCGGTAGCGCTGGATCACAAACCTTGATTAATAATAATATTTAATAAAATTCGATAAAAGAAAAATAAATTGATATAAAATTCTTTTTTTTTTTAGTAAAATAGACGATTAAAGGATTTTGATTGGACATCATAAACATACAGGTTTGGCATGCTCAACAGTAATTTTAGAAGTAAAAATAAAAGTTTTATTAAAATAATTTAAAGCGTCATTTGCTTCTTTTTCTGTACGATATCCAATAAATCCGAAACATCGAGATTTCCCATCTCTATTCATTAAATTTATAAAAAGGAATTTATATATATAATTCATCACAAAAATTAAAATATAAAAATTGTAGTTACGCAGTTCGTATAATCTTTGCATCCGTAACTTGTCCTTTTGTAGTAAAATGAGCACGAAATTTTTGATCAGTTAAATTTGCTGGAAGACTTTTTACAATCAGGCGAGACCTGTTTAATTTTAACTATTAGTTAAATTAGAATATACAAATCCAATACCGTTCAAAAAAAGAATTTACTCACATTCTGAAAAGTGGAGCTAATCTGATCTGATCTACAAGTTAAAAAAATTTTTTAACAATCATGTGATTAGCCCTATTTTTGGGAGTTCGGTAAATGCCAATCAAAAATGTGTGAAACTTTGATAAGCAAAAGATGTGAAGTACGAAATATGACTTGGAGCATTAGTAAAGAATGTCAAGGAAGCCCATTTTACTTATATTAATTGTCCAGATTATGTGTTATTTTAGAGAATCTCGCTGCAAATTTATCAAGAAATTCGTAAATTCGTAAGAAAAAAACATGAATTTCTGAATATTCGTTGAGTGGCAATTTTGAATATATTTTAGATGATTCAAAATATTTACATTCAGAATATTTGGTACTTTGCTAGCTAAATTAAACTAGTATGAATCATAACAGATAACTGATAAGAAACTTTACATTAATAGTCAATCAATTGATAATTGAAAAAGAAACGGCTACACGCATCTCTATTATGATAGCTAAATAATTTTGACAATTATTCTACAATTGTAATTTATACTATCGATATAATCTCATCAAATAAGATAAACTAATAAACTTATTTTTCTTAATTAAACTACGAATTCGATTATAACATTTTATTTCGCCATTTTCATTATGTATAAAAATGCCATGTTCTAACCCAATTTCCCACAAAGAAAAAGAAAAAAAAAAAATGTTAAACCTTTTAATCCTTTTATTTGTCCTTATTCATATCGTCGCTTCAACTTCGTTAAATTCTCTTGAAGGTAATAATGCCTTACAAACCGTCGACTTCGAGTCAGAACCTACTGACATCGATCGCGAAAATGATGTCAATTATGAAGATATTGACAACAGCGACGTCAGTAATGAAGCTATTGACAACAGCAACGTCAAAGTAGACCAATCCGGTAGAGGTGGACCGTTTCGTTGCCGCTCTTGCTTTAGAACTGGAAGATATTTTCGTTGTTTCGGATGCAGAAGAGAAGGCTTCGGGGGAGGAGGCTTCGGAGGAGGAGGAGGCTTCGGAGGAGGAGGAGGAGGCTTCGGAGGAGGAGGAGGAGGCTTTGGATTCAGGAGAGGAGGTAGTGGTGGAAGAAGTTTCCAGAGAGGAGGTCGTCGTGGATAATTATTAATAATGAATAAAATGTTGATGTTTTAATTATAAATTAAAATTATATTTTATATACATCTATTATATAGTCAATTATAATAATAATAAAAGATAATATACTGTATAACATTTTAATAAATTTTGAAGTACATCCATACGTTAACAAAATTTTGAGCTTTTTTCGATAATTAAACATATATAATTCCTACACGTAGTCTTGAATACGTTTTATCAAATACTAGAGATATGCCTTTGTATGAGATGCTGACATAACTCTCGCAAGATAAATAACATGAGTTATATCTCGCGTGAGAAATAGAATTTTAGTAATCGGTAATTTAATAATATGAAGTCAACATCTCACATCTCGCGCGAGACCACATGACAGATAAAATATATGCTATGGTTCAGGTCACTTATAGTCATCAAAAAATATAATTTTTTCTTTGGTATATGAAATTTTGATTAATAATAATTGAGACACGTGATTAAAATCTATAAAAATTTCGGAAAGTTTGATGAATAGGTGATGTGAACCATACGTGCGAGACCACATGACATATAAAATATATGCTAGGTTTATCTCGCAAGGACATCTCTATCAAATACAGAATTCCGAGTCGAAGACCGTAGTATCTTTCAGGGTTATCTTCTAGGGTCGGTCATCCATTTTGAATGAGTTTTCTACGTGTAATTGCTATTTTTTTTTTAATTCATTTCCAATATTGTTGATAGTTTCTAGTTTCTCTCAATATATTCAGAAGCAGTTGAAGCTTCAAATAATGACATGAAAGATGTCAGATGTTGTTCATGCAAGAAGTTATTATAGAAAAGGAAATTGCCATGAAAGGGGTTATTATTAGGGGATGGAAAAATTTTCGAAATAGCTGTTGAAAATCAATTCTCTTAAGTTGTTGAAAATTTTTGTCATCCGGTCTATAATATGAGATAAAGTTTTCGTAAAAATGTAGAGGAAAAAGTATTAAGAATCAATAATTCAATTATCATTAACGTTAACCCCAATTATCAGACCTGTACCAATACAAGAGACCCGCGGGTTTAATCTAGGTTTTAAAATTGATAAAATGTATCTAACCCAGTCTTGTATATGGTATGGTAATTTAAATTTTAATGTGAAATTTGATATCACATGATTATCTGTCACGTTAGCTGCTTTTATAACATGTAATAAGAACAGCCTTATCATTAGGGTTGGTGGTGCAGTTATAATTCTAGTGGTGCACCACATATATACCATCAAGGTCTTCTGGTGCGTGGTGCACCTGACGGTGCACCATTATACTACACATATTGCCTGATGTTAGTAGCTTCATATATATCTATCTTTTGACAAAGACAATTATATCTTGTTGGACATTTTCGGACATTTACTTCCACTTTTTAGCTTGTTAAGCTCGTATTTTGTGTTCACCGTCTACGTTGGGAACTTTCGGGTTCAATTATATTTCTTACAGTTAACCTATTGCGATAAGTTACCTTTAATATTGAGCTAAAGTTGAACCCATCCTTCAAAAGTTATTTGGAAAATTTACGCACGTGTGTATAACATATTACACATACACGCTCCCTTATATAAAATAAATTTAAATATGGTTGGCTCGCCACCTTTGCACCACCAACTCTACTTATCATGCCTCTGAGTTTTTAATTATGATGTAAGCTATATTTTTTATAGATGACTCAACACAAATTGAATATTCATAAACATTATTTAAAATGTTTATTGTCACCATGAAAAAGTTTTCGGTTGTGTCATATGCTCAATATTGATGTTATCCGATATATTATGTAAGTGTGAGGTTTTTTCGCGATATCTTTGCACAAATGATCACGTAATCCCATTCCAAAAATATTGAGACAAAAGAAATCACAAACAAAATGCAGGGGCAATTTTTACTGGATATATATCGCATTATAAAATTCTTTCCATATTAAAAATCCACAAATTTGATTGGTTAACTATTTAGTCCACCAATCACGTTGTGCATTTGTTCGTGTTCGGGTATCTTGAGAAATATGAATCTTTTTTGCGCTTTTAAACAATTTTATGGGTTAACAATAGAGAGTATAATTTGTCTAAGATAATAAGGTTTTAACTATAGGCGGATACTACATTATTATGAACATTCTTTTTACGAATAACGAAGCAATAAAATTTTATACAGTATATATTATTTAAATGATAAAATATACTAGAAAAGGAAAGCAAGTAAACAATTTACTGCGCTTTTCAAATTACTGTGTTCATCAAATGATCGCCCATCACACGGAAATCTGAAAATTTTGGCAAAT